TCGTCAAGCCAAGTAACAGTGGGCCATCTTGTACTTTATTCCCTGCTGTTCATCTAAAGCACATTTCTTACATTCAATAGATTTCTACTTCTGGCAGTTTATAACTCCATGAGTTTAAGAGCCTTTGACTAATTAAGAGCAGAGAGATTTTCACCATGCTGCCACAGCCCCCTGGAAGAATAATTTCCAAGTGTTTCCGAGTGTTTTGCTCTTTGGGGGCATATGAGGCCAAAATTACAAACAAATCAGTGCCCATGTACATACCTACATCTATCTAAATATATATATGTGCACACAGATTATATCTGTGTCCATATCCATATTTGTTAAAAACAAATGCCTTAGAGGCGAACACCTTTGGAGGGAAGAATGTAGGTACTGTAACACAGTCTTCTAGGTGGGTCTCTGGTTGGTATTTGTACATTAATCTTGGAAGAAATTTAAGAGGTTTGATCCTACGGGTGAAGAAGCATGTGTGATTGTGTGAGTGCATGTGCACACGTGCAGAAAGCAACTGTGAGGGATGCCTGTGCTTGAACTGATCAGACAAGTTTTATTAGTTCTGTCCATCGATGCTGGTTTGAAATATGGCAGGCTGAGCCTATTAAGGTAGCTCAAAAATGTCTTTCCAAAATGGCTTTTGGGCTCCAGTTCCCACACTCATTTACTTCCTTGATTCACTTCAAAATCTGCTCCCCTCAGCATTTGCTGCTCTTGTTCACACAGATGCATCGAAAAATGGATCGTTACCCAGCAGTTTTCTGTAACAAAAAAAAAGGTTTGGTCCAGATCCAGAGAAAGACATACAGTAAAGAATCTCAACTGTATCAAATTGCATGTGAACAGTGAGAAGGTAGAACGCATATGAAAGACAGCTGAGTTAAACAATGTGTAAATGGAGAGGCAATTCAGCTGAAACTCACAACTGCATTACCTTTCTGGTCTTGGATGGAGCCTGACTCCACAATAAATCCTGTACATCAAAGCTCAAGATTTAGGAGAACATAAGAGTTCTTACCTTCATCCCTGTTTGGCAGCATGATCCAGTGCCTCTTACATGTCTGTGATTTGACTGCCAACTGTCACAGGGCTTGGGGCAGCACTGAGACCCCTTGGGTTTTTAATTCCATGTGTAGATGTTTGCAGTGCCACAAGGGAAGAGCCTGGTCTGAGCCAGCAAATGTATCCTGAGCACGAGTGATGCAAAATGAAAGCAGTCAGGGAAAGAAGGATTTGTCGATGGAAGTTTGTAACAAGACACCTTTTATTTTAGTGAAGGTTGAAGAACAACCTTCTTGGGACAAGAGAATTTACAAATGCCTTATTATGCTGTTGCTAAGATCACACCTGTAGCATCATGCACCAAGATCATGCTCTTAGCTTCAGAAACCAAACTCCAAAGGAAGACTGCAACATTAAAGGAGTGAGAATGAATTCAGCCAGTTTCATCTAGAGAAATGCTTAATGGCAGGATGATCATCTTAAGGGTCATTTAATACCAGGAAAAGGAAATGACACATAACACAAGTAGTAACACAAAGAACAATGAATTCAATTTAATAAAGGGCAAATTCAAATTGGAAATGAGGCTAAACTTTTAGATGGTTGAGGGCAGGCAGAAAGGGAAATCGTTTGCTTAATGAGGTAGTTATGACAAACTAGGTAGAAATATTCTGTTTTCTGAAATCGGTGAGTGTGGAGTTCAATTTTCCCTGCCTGATACAGTGGGTTCATCTGGGGAGTCCAGTGGTGTTTTGTCAGCCTTGTCCATCATGACCATTAGCTGCATTAATAATCCGTAATTTAATGAAGGCACTACAGTAGCAACAGTACATGTTGAGAATCCTTGCTTCTCTAACGTGAAGAGAGAAATTGGATTTTTTGTGGCTTCACAATATGAAACAAAAAGTTAAGTGTGCTGTGGTTGTCTGAGGTGAGATTTTTGTGAGACCACACGGAGATTTACAGCCTCGCGGCTTCTGTGTCTGGTCAGAACTGTGTTATGGGAATGCTGGGGGGGATTTTTCCAGGGGTTGAGTGAGACTTGGCTGCTTTACTCATCACTGTGTTGCGAAGGCATCTGGACACCCCAGAGGTACCTTTTGAAAAACCTACTCTTGTATGTCATTCTTACCATTTCCTTGAAGTGGAGCTGACCTGATGGCTGTTGGTAACGCCATGGTTCATCTTAATTCACCACCTACAGGGCTTGGTGCTCCAAGTGGGCTCTTAGTCTCCTGCCTGCTCACAGCACTGTGAAAACAGCCTTGTATCTCTGTTGCCAGGAAGACTTTATGAAAAAAATGACAAATGCATACTGCCTGAACCTCACATCTGAGTAAAAGCGGACCAAATGTATTTCTAGCACAAACTCCTGGAATTAGTGAACAGTGCAACAGCTGATACTGATATTTAAGTCAGTGATTCTAATATGATGAAGACAAATTATTAACAAAAGTGTTTATCCCTTTATGGCACAGACAGTTGATAGTTCTTGTTTTATTTTAAATATATTGACAGGCACGAGTTACCTAATTAATGAGGTCTCATAGGGATCCCAGTTAATGATTGCTGACTAGTGAGTTTTGCTATGTCTGAGAATTAAATGGTAGCACTGGGTTCATGGAAATGGCTCATATTGTCCAAAACAGCTGATGATTACTGTGTTTAAGTAAAAGAATTCTCATAAGGATTTGAGCTGCTCCGAATTTAATGCAATTTTTCCAGGGCCTTGATAATCATCAGGAAATGAATGTAAAACTGTGATCTCATGTCATTTGGAAAGTTAATGGAATAATCTGATGGGCAGAGCTTGCTAACTGTACACTGGAAAAGAAAAGTCTTTAGGCACTGGTCTCTGTCAGCAGCAATGGAAGTGGAGAAGAGAGTAGATTTTATTCCATAATTATCTGACATGAAAATGGGTGGTGTACCAAAGAGAAGTAGGGTAGTGTTGCTTTTAGTGAGGAAAATAGGTCAATCTAAATACTAGCATTGGTTGTTACATGCTACTATGGATCTGTATGTTGGAGAGCTCATTGGAAAATTAATTTATTCCTGTAAAAACATTGCGTTATAGAAATCTTTCTTTGAGCTTTGAGATTTTCTTTGGAGAATGGAAAATTAGCAGTTTCCATCTACCAGAAGGTTTCAGATGGAAACCTGGTTTCTGGTCAAGTTTCTTTCCCCAGTGCAAACACAAACACTTGCAGGAAGCCGTCTTTACCAGTGTGGATCAGTGTTCATCAGATGATATGTAGCACATACTGGGCTCAGCTGTGTAACTGGTTGAAGCTTTAGTCTTTGATGCTGGGGCATTGGGTTGTTCCTTAGGGTGCAGATGCCAGATGGTCTTCCCTTAGAAGGTCTCATCTTTATCCCTGTGTAAAATTGGAGATGCTTTGTGGGACAAGGAAACACTCCTGTGTTGTTAAAGTAAGGAAGTATTTCCAATATCTTCCCTCTTTTAAGTAGGTGTCAGTCACATTTTTTTGGCTAGATACCATAGACTAAATCCTGTCTCTGCTCTGGGTCTGAGGGTGAACAGAGCAGTTTGTCACCAAGGGAAAACAAGGCTTTTGTTATAACTTTTTCTCTTCATTTTGTCTCTGCTTCTCAGTGTCTGGCAGATTCTGCATCCTTTATGCCATTCCTCTTCAGCTCACTAACAGAGTTGTCATTAGCTTTGCATATAAGGGCAGGCTCAGGGATTTCATTACTTCTCTGAAGTTTCATTCACTCTTTCTTGGGTTTTCTTTGAAATTTGTTTTGTTTATCGGTGCAAAAGGATGAGTTCTGCTCTGAGCCTGGTCTTCACTTTGTTCTTAGCACTTGTAATGACTGTGGGACTGCACTGATCTGAAATGGTGCTGTAACGGTGCTGGCATGTGTATCTCATTTTTATAAGTTTACTTGTACTGTTTAGAACAATCTGAGGAGACTTATAATTGCTTGTCTTGTAATACAGCCACAAAGAATTAAGTAAGGGCTGTATAAGTAATCGCTTTTCCTCTAGCCAAAGAAACACTGTCGTGTTTTTATATATCAACTTATTTAGGGTCAGAGTTTGACTTCTCTCTGCATTTGATAGGCATATGTAAGTGCTGCATCTGGGTAGTTCACAGAGGGATTTAGCACTTTGATTTTTAAATGCAGTGCCAAACGTGGAGAGAACAGTTTGATTAGAATGGAGCCCATGCAATGATGGGAGGTACATTTTCAGCAAAAATTGCTGTGAGAAGAGACGATGACTTAGGAAACCACTGCAATTAAAATTGTGACTGAGTTGATACAGGAGATGGAAAACTGCTTGCTTTTGATATTTGCTAGCTATGAAGAAACTTGGATAATAAGTGTTTTCTGGGAACAGAGATATGGAGGAAAGATGGCTTATATTTAAGACACTACACGGGACTAAGAAAATTGAGTTCTGTTCCTTTCCTGGCTGCCTCACAGGATGCCTCTGTAGTCTTGGGGATGATTACAAAGTTTTCACCATATGTTTATGCTGTATGTAGCGATCTGGAGCCCTCATTTTAGTTGGACTTCATGAAATTCTAGCCTACCAAGTAATATTTACTCACTTGTGTATACCAGAAAGTAAAAACAAATGGTCTTTGGAAAAATTAAGCTGGGTCACATTTACACTGAGTAGGGATTCTGTGTCCTGGTCAGTGACAGATGAAAAGTAGGGCCTTCAGAAATGATGACTATATCAGACTCGATGCTCAGACCAATCATGAGGCCATTTAAATTTTTTCAAAAAATTAGGAGGAAGGAGGAGGGTGAAGGAGAGGTGATGCTTACCATGAAGGCTATGAGCTATTTTCCCAAGATCTTTGTCACATAACTCAGAAAAGAGGAAGGACCTGACATAAGTAGAGAGAGCCTGCCTTAAAGAGGACTTTATAACATCATTTTTGTATCAGCCAAATGCAGACACACTTCTTTTTTAATGAAGGAAAAAAATGCCTTTTTTCTTTTTTTTTTAATAGATAAATCATCCACGAACAAGCTTATGAGAAAAATAGAAGAAAGAAGGCCAAAGAGGCATGCCAGAGAAGGAAGTTTACAGAGTCCAAGGGATTCAGAGAAGATTGCAGTGGGACTGCCTCTGAGAGGGAGTGTTTACATCACCAATTCCTGACGGGTTTACCTTCTGGGACTCCAACCTTGGACTGCTGCCGGGACATTTGTCTTGGACTTGTCCTCTGGGCTGGTGAGTTAGTGATGGAATGACACACATCTCTGTTGTGCTGGAACATGATATTTTCAGATTGCTCAGTGTGAGAGGTTTTGGTCTCTGATCATTCTGTCTCCTGCTCCAGTGATGAGAGGATATGTCAAGCAGTTAAAGCACAAATCTGAGAGCTGGAAGACTTGGCCACTGTTTCTGAGGCTGCCACAGCCTATTTGTGATTTTGCACAAGGCAAAGAATGACAGACATTAGACGTAGCATTTTCCAGTGGCTCGGGGCTCTCTTAACTCTCTTGTCATTGATCTCAATGGGACGTTCTCCCTTAAATTTGTTGGGAACAAGGACCTTATATTTCAGACTGTATGTGAAGTAGGTAGGTTTCTCTAATCATTTGGATATAAAAAGTGTGTGCCTGATGCAGTGCAAGGAATTGCTGCAACTTTTCAGATGCTGAAAGCACAGTTAACTGAAAAGGTAGGTAGGTCACTACTGCAGGCCCTGGTTATACCAGTTCAAATCTGAAATAGCCTTGGGGTGTTTCACCGAACTTCATTGTTACACAAATACCTACTGCTTCATAATCACTCAGTACGGGTAGATGTGATGTGTAGGCAGGGTAATGGTGAGTGGAAATTGATTTGTGTGGTCACAGAATATATCCCAGACTAAGAAAACAGCATTTTCTGCTGCAGCATTACAAGAAGATACTATTTATAGTTTGTGCTCATTTTGTGCTGTCTGAAACTAGGAAAAGTTTCCACTTTGGAAAGGTTGTAGTTTCTGTTTGGAAAACAGAAAGGCATTTTTAAGCTCCTTATTGAAAAATAATCTTTTATTTTGACATAAATATAAAATGTTTCTCTCTGATTTTGTAGAATGATGGACCAAACACAGTTTTTCAGAATAACTAATCTGGTCCCATATTGATGATTCATTTCCCTTTGGGCTGTCTAGCAAAGAGATGTGGGTCCAGAAAATGATATTCCAGGGGAAGTGGCAGTATTGTTCCTGCAGACAGCTCCCAGGCTGGAAGTCCTCTGGAAGACAGGAGACCTGAAGGAATCTGCAGGAAGCAATCAAGTGGTGCTATTAACAGAGAACAGTCTGCAGAGGGGTGTTCAGTAAAGTCCAGGAACCTCAGAAACACTCTTCCTTTGGAGATTGGGATACTGAGATTTGGTCATCTGACAAGGGAGAAGGGAATCTTGTGGCCTAATCCTGCTGCTGGACAAAAATGCGCATCCAGGGAGAGGGAATAAGTGCCACAGTCCCTAGAGAAAGAAGGATTAGTCATGTACTCCTTATGCTCTGGAGGCTTGCTCAGTCAAGTCCCTCCTGTGCCCTGGGCAGTGTTGAGGCAGAGAAACCTAACCTTACTGAGAACTGTTTGTTTATCAGGGATCCTAGAAGCCCTGTGAGTTTGATCATAAAATCTGCTTGGACTTGCAGTGCTTTGTTTGTGACAGGGCTGCTGCAAGCGTGAGGTTGCCGGCCTGGAGCCCTGAGTGCTGTAAAAGCACTGGCATTGTTTCTCTGGTGTCCTGCAGCATGAACTGGCAGGGAGCAGTGCAGGGTGCTTGCTGACAGAGACCAGCAAGACAAACTTGGTCCCCTCACATCACTTTTTTTGATAGTCTTGGCAAATCCAGAAGACTGAAGTGGTGACAAATCAAGCTTTCATGTCAGAAGAGAGTTTTCTTGGAAATTTCCTGGGCAGATCTACTGATTGCACTCTGGGTCTGGCTTAGAAAAAGTGCAAAAGGTGATCTTGGCTCAGTGGGGTTTACTTCTTTGATCTTCCCTGTCTAGAACAGCGCACAGCAGCTGTGCTCTTTGGAGGAAAAATAGGCATTTTCTTTGAATAAAGATGTTTGCAATCATTTCCTGTTTCCCCTTAAATTCTTTTCATAGTCATGTTTTTAATGCTAATGAGAACCATAACTAGATGTTTAAAAGATCCTTTGTCGCTTAAAACATCTCTTGGAATAGCCAAAGACAAAAAAAAAAAAGCTCTAATGAACTAAAGCTCCCTCTGAATTTTTGTCTCTTCCAATCACCTAAATTAATCAGTGCTTAAGAAAGGTGTGCAACTTGATGCAGCCCTCCAGGGCACTCTGGCTGGCTCCATAACTTATGTTGCCTTGCCTAGGTATCCAGATGTGCTGTGGTGTGGGATTATGCTCTGTCCTCAGGTGCCTGCCACACTTACACTGTGTAATCAGACTGAATTCAGGATGAATGTTGACTACAACAGAAAATTATTTCCAAGCAGCTGTAAGTCTAGTTTAAGCCTTTTAGGATCAAATTTTCATCTTCAATATAAATCCACAGAAGGGAAGAGTTTATCTTTCACAGCTCTTGAAAGTAGAATCTAGAGCTGAGGGTTGTCTTCAAGCAGTTGTCTTCAAGCAGAGCTATCCCTGGCCCTCCTTCCATGACTTTCCATGCTTTTGATGACAGCCTTAAGTTAATGGTCATGGCTGCGTGTGGAATAGGCAGGAATGAAAAGAGTTTCTAACTCCAGGGTGTTCTTGCAAGCAATGAGGACTAGTGTTTGGGAGGCACCAGCCCATAAGTAGGGGTTCCCCCACTTCCCCCAGCTGTGCCACTGGCTTGCCATAAAATCCTTCACAAATCACTCACCTCTGGAGGTTCAGTTTTGCTTTTGTACAGCAGGAACAATGGTTCCTTTCAGCTCTGCCTCCACAGTGGTGATTGCACAGGACTAACAAGCAGTAATGCAGCCTTCAGGGACCGCCGGTGCTGGAGCTGCTCTAGCAAGTGTTTTGTACTGGGAGAAGAATGGATCCTTCAAATATTTAATCAACAGTCTTTGGGTATATATCCCTCCACTTCTGGATTAAATGCTCTTAGTGATTTAGGGCTTTATTATGTTCTTCTCTCTTTTGTTTATCTCATGTTCTCATCAACAGGAGCTTCACTTTAGACCATGATAAAGCACTTCAGCCATGCTTTTACTGGCTATGGTTGTTAGAAAATCTTATACATACTTTTTTTTTTTTTAATGACCCCATTCTCACTTTCTGAACTATGCTGACTTTTTTTAAAGGGAAGCAATAATGAATTTCCATATGAGCTATACCTTGTAAAAAGATTATCTCCATTTGCTCTTTTTAGAAAGTTTTCAGAAGGGAAGGCACTGTCCCAATGCACAGAAGCAATTTTTCTTTTCAATGGATCCTGTGACTCAAATCTAAACCTTTGCTCTCAGAGGAACACTTTTCAAATGTTTACTTACTGCTTGATTCCTGATAGGCAGTCTGGAAAAAAAAGCAGATGAGGTGTTACTCTTGAAAGTTATACTGCTTTATATTGTTTGAAAGGCAGAGATTGAACTGATTTGTCTAGCAGCTTGCCTTGTCTCAGCTGGGGGAAAGAGTTCCTTTGTAGCACAGGCTTTTATCAACAGTCCAGTAAAAGTGTTTTATATATATACATAAAAAACTCATACAACATATAAAGCCTTTTATCCCAGTGGCTCTAAAGTAGTTGACAAATTTGTCAAATAATTTGTCAACTACTTTCCTCACAAATTATCTCTTACACCAGAAGGATATCATGGAGGTATTTCTATGTTAGGTGAAATTATTCTTCCTACTAATAGCTTTTAAAGTAACAATCAGACTTGTAATGCATGAATTACAAAATTTTAATCTAAGAATTTTAGGAACTTTCCCCTGGTCCTCTTAGGGAATTTAATTAAACATGAAGCCACCTTCTTGTACTACTGAGGTCAGGGGGGAATAGATGCACAAGGTGTCCTGGGCAAGAGAGAAACAACACTTCATGTGTAGGTAACTGGGGGGGAAAAATATAAATAATCATGCGACATTCTGACGGTCACTTGGTGGAAAATTCCTGTTCTGCAGCACAGCTGGTGTTGTATTGTCAGGTATGGACACAAATTGTTGTGTATGGGCAAAAAACACGTGATGAGGATGCCTGGTCCTCTCTGATACCTCTGTACCCATCCTAGGCTTGGAGAGGAGCCTCTGTGCCAAGGATGAGTTGTCTTCCAGGGTCTTGTAAAGTTCCTCACAGCACTTTTCCCTTTACCTTACTGGTGACATCATGACCTTCCATGGCCACCATTTCCATATCAGCCTTATATATGAGCAGCGTTTGCCTCTTCTGGGAGGGCTCTGGATACACATCCCACATCCGTACACACTCTGCATCTGTTAGGCTTCATCAGAGGTTCCTCTTGGCTCCTGAACCTTTCCCTTGTGCAAGTCATGAGCAAAACCCGTTGCAAGGTGACTGAGGGTTTCGTGATGGGATCCACGGCATGAGCGTGTTAATGGACTCAAGTGCTATTTATTGGCTCCAGGGTGTTCCACTGCACCCTTGGCGCGTTCGCGCTTCCTGGATGAAACTTGGCTGAAGGAGTCAGAACTGCAAGACATCATCCCAAATTCCAGCTGGGATGCGTAACTTGGCTACATGACACTCTCCCCTCTTTGCCCCCCTTAACGACTTCCCGTGTTAAACAGTTTCTCAGGACTCAAAAGGGAAGGGGGAAATAATCTCCAGGCCAATGATTCTGATAAGTAGAAAGATTGCATAAATAAATTAGCAATGATTAATAGTAAGAAAATGTCACTTGTCTCACTTGCCTGGAAGTTGTAACTTGCTGAAATGACAGTCTTGATGTTGGGGGGTTGGGATGCAGAGATTGAATGATGGGGTTAGGGATTTACTTTATATATATTTTCAAATTGAAAAAAAAAGTGTGATTTATTTTCTTTTGCTGCAGCCTGCTCCAAATTTTTGGTTTTACATTAATAGCTGTGGGAACAGCAGTTCTTACTGCCATATACTTTAGCTATTATCACTGTGTCTGGTTTGACAGTACATCTCTTAATTTATTTTTTTTATTCCCTTGTGATCATAAAATATGTATCAGCCTTCCTTTTTAATCTCCTTTGGCATGTCCAGCTAGTTAATTTGTGTCTTTCCTTCTTCAAAATTTGATTTCTCTAGCAACATATACTTAATCAAAAAAACCAAACCAACTGGCTATTAAAACTTCTTAAAAAAAAAAAAAAAATTGAAATTTGATAGAATTCATATTTAATGGCATGATTTCTCCAGGAGCCCCTAACAGCTTTCTACCCCAAATGTTTGCTTCACTGATATTTTAATTGCTGTAATAATCAGCATTCTGAATACAAGGTCTTTCCCCTAGCTCAGTAAATCCATACTGGCTGAGTAAAGCATGTCTGTGATTTATGTGCAGATAAACAGCTTTGGATCCTGTCCAATCACTTCATCAGTTCTAATTCGGCTGCCTAATCAGTAGCAAACAGGAGGGTTGTTTTTTGTTGGTTTTTTTTGCTTTGTTTTGCTTTTAACAGGGTGTGTGTGGGGGGGTGTTAATAGAGGGTTTGGCATGTTCCCCAGAATTGCACAGATAGCTCCCCATTTCGCATCATCTTCATGTCAAAGTCGGCCCTGACTTTCTCAGAGAGTTTATAAGAAGGGGATGAGATGCCAAGCCCTGCCTTTAGGCTTTCATTGGTATCTAAGGAACCAGGCAGATATGCAGTCTGAACAGGGAGCCTGCTCTTATCTCATGGTTTACAAAGGACATCCCTCAGATGCCCGAGAAAAGTGGAAGGGCTCATACAGAAGCAGATTTTGTTTACTCTGTGCGTTTAGGGGTTGATGCCTTCAAAATAATTTCCACAGCATTCATGTTACTGCTGTTGCTGTTTCTTAATAGGCAAAATGACTTTGAAGGGGTCTGGGAGCCGGAGGTGACCAGTGCCTGTGGGGTGCAGCTGTGCAGGGGTAGGACAGTGCAGCTCACTCTCACCTTTGCACCTTCAGTCTGTCACTTGCTGTTACCTGTCAGCTCTGTGCTCAGTGCTGTAAAAGCCTGGGGCATCCAGATGACTCCAGACTGAGGCTCTTCTAGCTTAAGGCTCATGACCGCAGCTCCTGACCTCATTTTTGTCTACAATAACCCAAGCAAATTCCTGTTAAGGTTAAAACATTGGACCTTTTACATTATCATCTATTAGTGCCATGTGTCCAGAGGTGAAGCGTTCTCTGATTTATAAGCAGCCTCTGAAGGATTACAGAGAGCAACCCCATTTTGGTCATCAGATCTAGGGCAAGCAATACCATCTGTAATAACAAAGCTTACCTAAAGAGCTTAGTGTGGTTTGAGTAGTAAACCGTGGCTGTGTGTCTCTGAACCTTGTCAGAAATCCTGGCTGCCCTTAATTTCAGCGTGTAACTGTGCCTGGCCACTTCCTTTATGCTGGGAAACTGCAAGAGGTATTAGTAGCTGTTCTTCTGTATCTGTTTATTCTTGTTTCATAGCAGCACTTGCTATGCTGGCAGGCGGCAGGCCTGGGAAAGCTGTGCTAGGCTGGGTGGCTACCACTGGACTGTTTAGGAGGTAGGTTAATTGGGAAGAAGACAGTGACATTTCTACTGTATCTTCTTAGGGATTTACATCCTAACCCAGATGACACCTGCCACCTTTTTTTCCATGTCAGGTTAAACCCTCTCAGCTCTGTGCTTTACTCTTACCAAGAGTCTTAACCAGAGCTGCTAAATTCAAACTTTTTGGCTCAGCCTTAAATCCTTGCACACACCCATAGCTGTAGGGGCTTTAAATAGACTTCTGAATCATCATGAAATTCAGAGAATTAGGCTTGGCTGGAGGGAAAGGCAGTGAATTGGGTTTGTGGCATTTTGGGATCAGTTCGCAGGCAGATGTGGGTGTCCCAAGGGACCTTGGGTGAGGTGTTTAATCCATCTGCCATGTTGGGGTTTTTATAGCTTGCAAAAGGGCAATAACACCTCCCTGTCTTAGACTGGCAATGAAGAGAGGACAAAATCCATTAATGAAAAGAAGACCTTTAGACCCTGTGGTGGTTCTAGTGCAGCTCCACCTCAGCTACAGCACTCACTGGGCTTTTTATCTGCAGTCCCTGGAAGATTCTTTGAAAATGGCTGTGACCATTTTTATACTCCTCTTGTGCACGGTCAGAGGAAGGCAAGGTGGCTTGTCCAGAGCTGGGCAGCAGTCAGTGAAAAGAGGGCAATCACGGCCCTGCCAGCAGGTCCCACTTAGCAGAGCTCAGCTGGTAGCTCTGGAGATGGAAGCAGAGCCTTGGGGAGAGCACAGATGCCACTTTCTCCTGCTCTGCAGAGTGTGTGAGCCACCTATTGCACTAGTCCCCTGGACTCCTTACCTCAGGATGGGCAGTTTTTCATTTCCATTTTGGAATTCTCTGCTTTTGGCTAAGACAGCTGGGATTTGGAGGTGTGTGTGGAGAGGGAAGTTTGGCCATTATGTTGTGTTACTTACATTATTCTGCTTCTTTTTAATGGATGACAGCACTGTGGAGGGATTACCAGGCTTGGGATTCTCCTGGCTTTGACTGACCAGTCTGTAGGTTTGGTTCTCTTAACCTCAACAGGAACTCTGAGCATTCTTGTTAAAATTATTATGAAATGAACTTCCAGAGTCCTGAAAGGTGAAGACTACTCCATCTATCCATCTGCTGCTTTAATGGAGAGATAGGAAAGGTTTCATTCTCTGGCCAAAAGGGAGCTCTTATGTTTAGAGAGGCAGTGTGTAGACCAAAATCCTTCTAGTGATGAAATCTAGAGTTTGTGCTGACCAGTGGCTTACATTTTATGAAAGACTACCTTCCAGTCCTGGAGGTTTGAGCTAACATGCATCTTGTTTTCTTACAAGCTGGTATGCTGGTCTCTGAGCTGCCTCCTGGGATATCATTGAAGAAGCATTTCCACTGTTACCATTTTAAAGAGCAAAGGTCAGCTGGTAGTGAAGGCTAAGTCCTTCTGGTGGGTGCTCTTTGGTTGTCCCACCTTCAGGACTGAGCCCTGTCAGAAGAGCTGCAGAAATGTTCATGTCTTCATCCCTTTCCTGGGATTTCTTCCATGAGGAAAGACTGATAGGAGAAGGAAGGAAGGATATGTGAGAGTCCATATGTGGGTTAGTCGTAGTACGTCGAAAGAGGGGACTGTGAGAGCATTTTCAGGGTTATGGAAATGTGATGAATGAGGCTTCTTGAAGAAAACAATTGCTTTAGTCCCTCAGTGAGCAGTGTGACTGGTTCCTCTGTTTCTGCAGTTTGGTTTTTTTCAGATGGTGCTACATTTATTATGACTTTTTTTTTTTTCTTCAACCCCTTTCCTGTCCTTTTCCTTTTTCCCCTTTTCCTTTTCCTTATTCATACTATATAGAAGCCATTGTTCAAAGAAGAATTACCAGGGTGGTAAAAGGTCTGCCTTCGACTGAAGTCTGATGGCCTGTCCCTGAGTGCAGGACCTTAAGATGCAGAAGTCCTCTGGCATTATATAGAGTTTTGACAGACAGAATACCAGTTTCTCTGAAAAAAAAAAAAAAGTTTTGTCTTTTTAGTATCTCTATTCCTTTTCTATGATGTAGAGTTAACAGCATGTGCTTCTTCTCAGGAGCACAGTGAGGAAAAGCCCATCTGGTTTGTGAATGCTCAGGCATTGCTCTAATGGAAGCCATGTAAATAACTAGATAAATTATTTCAGTGGGATTGTCTGTCGAGCATAATAGGTAGCAGGGTCAGAATCTCTTAGCAATGATTCATTTCTTTCTGGCTGAGTGGGATTTGTGCTCACAAGCCATTGTAGAGAAGCAGCCTCTGATTTTTGCTGTCTCTGTCTTTTCCCTGCCTACACTTTGAGCTCCTGGTTGGCTCCAGGGAGCAGAGGCTACCATGGCCAGTGTAAGCACCATGCTAAGTGCAAAGAGTTTAGGCACAGGGTAGACTCTGTGGTGCTGCCATAACACAAAACTGAAGGATAAATTATTAAAAAATGATCTAGACTTTTTTATAAATTGTCATAATTTTTGCCTCTTTCATGAGGTTGTGGTAGAATTGTGGGTTTTAATTGTGGGATAAGGCATAAGGGTGAAAATAATGAAAATAACCTTTCAGATGTGGGTTGCTTCAGCGAATTTGTTCATTCTGAGCTTTGCTTTTGGCATTTCAAAGAGAGGGGATAGGGGCTCACAGCTGGTGTGCCAGCTCTCTGCCCTACCAGGCTTGCTATGAGAGCAAGGGCAAATCGTGTAGGATGCATTTACATGTCTTCATCTGGCTGCAGCTCCTGGATTGACTTGAACAGTTTCAAGAGTTTCTTCACTAACCTGAGTGCATCAGTCACTAGTTCTGCTGTCAGAATGGAAGTGCAGTGAACTCAGGCAGGGGTGAATGATGAGGCAGGGTGGTGGGTGGCGGGGAGGGGAATGTCCACAAACAAAGCACTGCAGTGAGCAATAAGATGTGCGTGCTCACAGCCCACATTTCTCCCACTTGAAAACTGGGACAAGTGTGGTTCCTTGTCTCTTCCATGAGGGTGAAGCATTCAGGATTATGAAAAGTTCAAGCAGGGCTGCACAATTTCTGAGTTAGATTGACTGTGTTAAAATATTTATTGTTTCTACAAACATTTGCTGCTAGCATATATATAGATTAGGGGTTTTTCAGAAAGCAGATGATTGCAGCTGAAGCAAGTTTGGAAGCAACCTTCAGATGAGCATTAAGGAAAATTTTCACAGTGCTTTGTGGTTAAACTGGAAGAATATTTTCATTACATTGTGTCTCCAAATAATGTCAAAATTCTTTCCCATCAGATATATGATGTAGTTAGAAATATCCACTGAAGACTTGTTTTCTGATGTTTCCACAGGTCACTAAGGATTTTCCCTGGAGCGTGACTTTGAATATGACACTTCAGTAATGCAGAAGCTGTAAGTAAATAATACCATTTTTGCAACTCTTCTTTAAGAGCCGTGTTTACGCTCCTTCCAGAGCTTTGCTAGAATTCATCTTTGCTAGACTTTATCTACCATGCAACAAACTTACAAGGAAGCGACTGGAAGATGACGTGGTTTTAAAGTGAATCATGCCATTTTAGGCGCTTTGCTTTATTAGCTTCGTGTTTAATTTAAGAATACCAATAATGGTTTCTTAATCTGCAGGAAAAAAGCTCAAGACATCTGTCAGTATTGCAGGCAATGCCACAAGCAGACAAAAATAAAAATACCTCATTAGCGTAGATTATCAGTGAATAAAATGCAATGATACATTACCAAAATCTGGCATGCAAATCAGCACAGGATAAAGGCCAAGAACCTTACTTTGCTTGTGGTATCAGTAATTAAAAAGGCCTGAACAAATGAACTCAAGGGGCTGCTGACCTGATCATGGCCTTTGGTAGCTTGATGTCAGAGTTCAGTGTCTCAGGAATCTTATCACAGAGGTAAGCCTTTGTGCAATTCCTGGTTGTCAATGCTTGAAAAAGATACAGTTTCCTTCTCTTCCTCAGCTTTATTTTCCATCTTTTTGTAAGGTGAATTAGTAAGCTGCTATTTTTGGTATCTCTTTTCTGAATTCTGCATTGTTTTTCCTAATGAATTCTCTCAGATCTGCTCAATCTCCATTTAATTCAGTCAGCTACTCAACATCCAAACCTTTTGTAATAAAGAGAGTGCTAATTTTTCCATTTATTTCAATTGCCCTTCATCAGGTGTTATCATATAACTCAATCATTCAGTATTGGAATCTGTAATTTAATCAATAGAGGAGGCCATTTTTCTCAAGGAGATCAAAAGAGAAAGAGCTCAAGGAAAATGCACAGTGAAAGGAAGGTGAATAACAAAAAAGATAGGAACTGTAGTTTGCACTTAATAGCTGCCCACCCTGGTGGCTATATCTGCCTGGAAAGTAGCGAGGAAAAGAGGTGCCACTATTTTAGAATTAATAGATCTAATTATTTCATCTGTGCACTCATCTTCCAAAATCTAGAGGGAGAATCATGGATGTTACTCAAGCTGTGACAAGCACTTTGTAGGGGTGTTGGCAACCCTGTACATGAGCAGTACTGTTCACACAAGCAGTCTGATATCAAGAGAGACACCAACAGAAGAAACTGTGCTGTGTGAGGTCCTCTCCATCCTTTCTGTTCACGACTTTTATTGCATTGCTGTTGCTTTAGACAAGCACAAGGGTGGCATCAGGCCTGCCTTGATGTGACCACTGAGGGGCTCAAGGCTTTCAGCACAGGGATCTCCCTGGCCTCAGTAAAACGAGTCTGTGGCCTGTGGCCTGTGAACCTGCTCTGTCCCTGCCTCTGGGTTTGCTTCCACTGCTTCTGCTGCCCCAAAGGAGGGGAGGGTGCTGTGCTCTCTGGGCAGGATGAGGGGATGGCTATTCATTGCTGGCACTGAGACCTCTCCTGGTTCCCTGCCCAGGCCCATCTGAGTACTGAGTCTGGAAGAGCTTCTCTGCTAGTTCTGCTGGAGGTGTGAATTTTGCCCCAGGGATGAGGTTTATTTTGCATTCAGCCTCTGGAAGGCAACATGCCTTTTTCATGCTGCCAAGCAGCTTTGGGCGAGGCCTGGGGGGGAGATTAAATGCCCCAGTGGAGAAGCACTTGTGCTGGGTCGCAGCTGGGAGTCTTTCCTTGGCTCCTTGGCTTCTCAGTGAGATTGCCTGGACAGGTCTCAAACATCAGGTCTCTGAAGAGTGAGCCATGGTTTTGCTGATAAATTGCTTATAAGTATCATGGTCTCAGCTTGGCAAGGTCTGTAAAACTCAAGATGAAAGGTATCAAAACTATTCATTCAGAAAATGGTGATATTTAAAAACAGTATTTAAACAGTAAATTGTTTAGTGTGTAAGGGATATCAAAATGCTGCTTTGCTTATGTCTCTCCCAAAGCCTGGTTGCTAGTGCCATAGCCACATTTTCTGCAAATCAAATGTTGAGCCAGCCATTGGAACACACATCTGATGGGATTTTTAGAATATGTTTTTTAGTTGAAACAGGCACATTAGTAAAGAAAGGCTTAATAATACAACATTCTGGAGAATTTTTAATATGGGAGGTGTGGCATTTGTCTTGAAGATTTTAGTACTCCCCTTGAGTGCTACTCCAGATTGAATAAACAGTTATTTAGAGAGTCTTCAGGTACTTATTTTCAACCTGGGTTGACAGACTTTTCCTGTGGTAAGCACATAATTTCATAGGACAATCAACTGATGAACTCTACAGCAAATAATCCTAAAAAAACCCAACAAACCTAAAACAACACCCTAAGCACTCTATAGCAAAAGCTGTCACATAATTGCAGTAGAGACTTACCTTCAGGGTTTGTTAAGTGTTGAACTTCATGAATTGAAGAATGCCTGGACAAGTGTTGCATTGGAATTGACTGCCCAGGGAGATGGTGGAGTCACCATCCTTGGAGGTGTTCAAGGAACTACTGGACATGGTACTCAGTGCTGTGTTCTAGTTGACAAATTGGAGATCAGTGAGAGGTTGGACTGGATGACCTTAGAGGTCTTTTCCAACCTAAATGATTCTGTGATTCTGTGTGATTCTGTGATTGAAATGTCTTGGTCCTAAATTCTCAGCAATTCTGCCCTCCTGCAGCCCCCTTGAATTCAAGTCCTTCTCCTGCTTTGCACAGCCATAGCAGAAATTTTTGGACAAGGAACATGTAAAGTGTGCCAATCAGACAGCTACAAAATCTACAGAACTGCAACTGGCTGACAAATCACTCCCTCTGCCCTTGGATAATACCATAGAAGCCTTTTTTTGTATGAGCAATATTGTAAATATTGTTCATCTTTTTCTCATAAACCTATGTTTAAGTCTATTTCCAGCCTTTCAACAGTGCCAAAGGATTACCAAACATGCACCATATGATTGCTTATGATCTCTGATTCCTTCTGGTGCACTCCAAATAATGTCATCAAAGCCAGTGCCATTCTGCCTGTTGCGTTTGGCCAAATATGAGAGCAGAATTTCTCCCTCTGAGTAACTTTATGTGCTGTATTTGAAGACTGACTTTCAAAGCAATGACATTTTCACTGGCCAAAGCAATCAGTGTTTTGCCTGTCCAGGCAGCCTAGGGAACCCAGCTGTAAGAAGTGAAAAGCTTTCTGATGAGGACTGTGGTTGAAGACGTTTCTTGGGGTTGATTTAGCACTCAGGAGTGTTTGTGGAACTGGAGCATCTGCAGAAGCAAGCAATGGCACATGCAGACTGCCCCTCTGTCCTTCCCATAATAATGACTTACTTTTTTCACCTAAAAAAGAGAAAATATGTAGTTACAGTTTAGTCCTGCTTTACAGTGGTACTTTGCACAAAGTCATGCAGGTGTATAGTATGTCCAAAAATATTTACATACATGTTCATTAGTATTTCTCTGCTAATATCCCTTGCTTTTAATTTGCCAAAACATTTTGAAGCACTTAGTTTGTTTTTTCTGTCCTCCTCTCTGCACCAAATCACCCATTCTAGTGATTCAATGCAGATCAGGAATTTGGTGATGGGGGGGGGAGAACATTGTAGCCACTTTTAGCTCATCTCTTCAAGGTTGTTGGGTTTTGCTTCCACTGATTTTGAATTCAACAGGCTGCAGAAGGACTGGGTGTCATTTAGCTATTAAAGATTTTTGTTTTCCTGCTCATTGTGAAGTAGCATCATTAACACAGGGAAATTACCATGCTTCGCTGTGCTGTGTCCATGGTACATTAGAGGCCCTTTTCCATTGGTAAAGCTGAGTCTATTCTTCTGTAAAATCAGGGTCCCATTGGCGGTTCTTTGGCAAGTGAGACAGAGGGACTATTTAATGAGAAGAAGAGTGGTCTAATAAAGGGGAAGAAGTCGAACATGACAAGTGCAAGGAAAGACAGCAGAATGTTGGTTTATAAATCACTCCATAATTGGTCCAAAATATTCATCCATTTTCAGAAGGCCAGGGAGAAAGAGGACTGCAGTTTTGGGGTAAATGAACAACACCATTTTTACAAAGTGCATTTTAGAAAAGTCAAGCGCTCTATCCATTTCTCTTCCCTATACCAAGTGCTGTGTTTTCAGGCTAATGGAAACTGGTTTGTATTGCTTAATTTTCTTCTTTGAAATGGCATATTGGCTTTTGGTGGAGAAATTGGACTTTTGCTTGAATATGTCTGGATTTTACAAATAGCTTTTTAGTTTAATAAGATGAAACCAATTAACCAGAAAAGTCATTGCCAATGGATTTTACAAGTACATAAAAATATATTGCTTTTTCTTGAAACATTTCATCACCCTTTTAAATGTTCTTTTTTCTTTCCTTTGCCACCAGCGACAAGGAACTGTGATGAATTTGTGCCCTCATACCTTTTCCTGAAAACGTTGATCTTTGGCCCTGATTGTGTATGTGTGTGTGTGGGTGGGTGGGTGTAGACATGTGCATATGCATCTATTTATTTCTGTTGTTTATTTCTTGCCGCAGTGTTCAGTGTGTTTAACTTGTGGCCTGAGGTAAAACAGAGTACACAAGCTATAAAAAGTTGTTCTTAAAAGGTTACTTAAAGTGGCATAGGACCCAAGGGCTAATGAGTAATCTCTCGAAGCCAGATGTTAATGCAACTGCTGAAGCATTGGGCACAGCAGAGACACTGAAAAAGGCAGTAGCACCTGGTTGTTACCCCACTGCATCCCTGGGAGAGGAAATGTCTCCTGGAAACTCTTCTTCCCTCATTATGCCAGCTTTGCTTTGCAGCTGAGGGTGGGGACAGAGAGCTACGGTCCTGCAGTATCGTGGAGCTCTGTGGAAGCGATTTCTGGCCTCTGCCTGCCTGTCTCTGAACACTATTGCTCACTTAATCACCTATAGCAATATTTTACTTGGAGGGAATTCTAACATGAGGCCCCACCAGCCTCCTCTACCCCTGAATTTCCATCAACTCCTTGCCTGCAGGAGGGCTGGGGACCATGCAAGTCATGGGCTCATGCTGAGGATCTAGAGGATTTCTATCTCCATTACCTCAGCCTTCCCCAGCCCCTTGTAGCCTTGCCTTCTGCTTAAAATGCAAAGGATATTTATTAACGTCGTGAGCATGTGGGGCGGTAACCCAGGCAGGCATTGCCTTGAGATGACACAGTTTGCTCTGCTCTGATCAACTCTGTAAACTGAAGCATAAAGAACCTGCTTTGATCTCTGATAGCTTTGCTAGTTTGCTTTAGTTACCAGCTGATACAGAGATGACTAAAACACGGTACTTTGGGTTAAAACAGGGTGTCAGTCCAAGTACATGGCATATGACACACAAAATTAGCTGTTGCAAACAGACATCTCCGTTCACATCAGCTTTGCCCAATCCTTCAAGAAAACATATGTATCATCTGAAAGAAAAACAAACACTAAATTTGGGCAATAGGGAAGGCTTTAATTCCTTTCTCCTACAAGCAATGGGAGTGCCCTGTCAGACAGTTCCCTTTTTGTATCCTTGCTTCCATTTAGCACTGGTTCTCACATTTTAAAAGTAGGTCTAGATATTTTACCAGCAGCCTAACATCATTACTAAGGCTCTGCATATTTACCATATAACTGGTGATCTAGTTGAAGGAAATTATTACATGAGGACTTTAAAGGAGATACTCCTTTAAATGGGGTGTGAACTTCAGCACAAACCAAACAGCTGCTTCGAGTCCTCCTGGATTTGTGAAACTCTCCCATTAGCCACACCAAGTTGTGAATGATGCTGCCTTTCAAAAGGCCAGGACAGCCCAACATCTCCTTCCAGTAGCTGTGGGGTGAGTAGCATGTGCTGGTTTACATCCGAGCTCTTCTGCTGTTTATTTAATTCTCACCTGTTTTTTAGCTTGTGTTGAATTCCTAGCCTGTCCCTCATATTAAAATGACCTTGTTCCTCTAGGGAAACCTCAGTTTCAAACAAATGGTACCAGCACCAAATAACCACTTTGTAGTATCCAGTTTTGTCCTGCTTTTGTTTTAAAGCTTCCCAGGAACCCTTGGCTACTTCGTACAAACTGTTAACTTGAGGGTAATAATTTTGTCTGGGTTTTGTCACAGAAATTCAATTAAGGAGGATTATGAACACAGTTGTAGGCCTGTTTCATTTACAGTTGCAAATGAAACCCAGGCCACACACTGATCGTTTATGTAGGAAAGGAGATGCTGTGTAGTTTTGAGTGGCTGAATTACCTGCATGTTCCTTTGTGTGGCTTCACTTATTGCAGAAAGGAGGGGAGTGAGACTTGCAAAATGAATAAAAAAGTGGTAGAAAGGCGGGAAAGAAATCACCAAGGGAAAAACTACCCCCGCTGCTTTTCCCTAGGAGGCACACATCCCTTCTACACATAATAAACTCCACAGGGAATTTCTTCCTCCTTAGAAAACATTTCCCAAAGGGCAAGAGCGAGTAGTCCTTTATTTATTTATTTATTGTTAACAAAGAGCAATATTCTGTTTTCACAGCCTTGGTTTGGCTCCAAGTCTCAGAGCCACCAGGGACAAGGCATACGGTTTCACTTTTTTTTTAGTTCTTATTTCTAGGCTGTGCAAGCCAACTTTTTTATTCCTTTTTTCTCTTTTCAAGTTTTTCTGCAAGCAGCTGAATTCCCCAGGTAGTAAAGCGGAGAGGAGGGGGAAGGGAAGATGCTTACCACATTGGAGCAAAATGATAGCTGCTGCAGAGGCTGGCTCCTGGAGAGGTGGAAACTGTGTTTGAAGGGAATTTTTTTATTTGGGGGATGCCTTTTTAAGTTACGAAGGGCAAAACAAAGGCAAAGCTTGTCTTGATGTCCTCTGATGAAATGTCTGTGTCTGTAGAGGAGCAATATATCTCAGCTTTGCTTTGCAACAATAAACTTGGGAATTACTTTGCACCGCTCTGGAGATACATGAAGGACAACTGCACTTGGGTCACCCCATTCCTCTTATGCAAGCTTTGTCCCACAGCTTTGGGCTCTGTCCTCTAACCTTTTGGCTGGGAAATCCCATACTGATTTCCCTGAGGTATTGCCTGCTTGAAGACAGGGAGGATAAGGCTTAGCTTCCATCTACTGATTTTTATTCAGAAGGAGTTATCGCCATTTTGCAGATGGGGAAGAGAGAGGTGCTTAAAGGTGGAATCACAGCCCCAACTGAGTCAAGAATGGGCACAGTCCCAGGCTGTTCCCTGTGTGAAGTATTTCCTGCTGGTGAGTGCTGCAGTGCCTGCTCAGGGACTCACACCATGCATCACCTTTGATTAGAGCTCTCTCCAGGCATACTCTGTTTAACAACTTGTTTTCCTCTTTTTTCTTGCTTTCTTCCTGATCCTTCAATTCTAGTAAGGGTTATACAGTCCTTACTGTGGTTTCAACTACGTGCCTAAGAGGCTTACTGAATTCTTCACCAGATGAGAAGTAAGCGCTTTAGTTTCTAGCTTTAGATCAGATACTGTTTCTGTACATCTCTCTTTACAGCCTTGGCATTGTTGAGGACTGAAAGAGAAGCAGGCAGTTATTAACTCTCCAGAAGTTCAGCAAAATTCACTGTAAGTGTTGCAGTGAAGTGTGAACAATATCTACTTTTGCTCCACATCCGGTGCAGTTCATCCCGTGGTGTGGGGCTGCTACAACAATTTGGATTTCTCAGTTGTTTTGTGGTATAGTTGTTTTGTGTCAAACCAAACTTCTTGTTGAAGTAAAACCCCGATGAAAAGAACGAAAGGCCTTATGTAAAGAACAGTCTGTGAATCTCTTGCTTTTTGGGCACCTTTTCTGAAGAAGTTAGGACAAGTGAAATCAGTGTCCTCAGCAGCTTTCAGTCCAGGTGAACATGGCTTTATGGACAGCATTATTACTCGATGGATTTGAGTCTGAGTAACCTTGCAGAAGTCAGTGATTCATGCTGACACAAAAACAGTGGGGGAGAAAAAGAGGAGGATCAGGATTTTGCATAACTGTCATATTATTTTGTTACAACTGATTGGGTCAATCTGTCATAATCCAGTTTTGGTGTGTAATGGGGGAAGGAGATGAGCATCTCCAGAGGGTGACTCACCAGAAAGGCCTTCCCACAGGTGGCAAGAACTGACCTTTGGTAATGGTGATCTCCTCCCGCTGATGTACCAAGTGCCTTGCTGCCTAGCCTGGCCCAGCTTTCAGGTGAATAAAGTAGGGTGAGATGAATCTTTGCCTACGTTTCAATCACATGTTTTATATTTGGTAAAGCATATAAAAATAGCCCCTTTTTTAGCATCTTTCAATCTGTAGATAGTAGAGTTAGATCCTTAGCCAGCATAAATGAGATAAACTTCAGTGCTGAAGAGCTGATTTTACTGGAGTAACTTCTGCTTTGCTCGAGTTCAAGTGGTTTCAAATCTCCATGGAGTTTCTTGGGGCTGTTCTAGTAGTACCTCTAAGTTTAGTACCTGAACTTCAGCAAAATGATAGAAAGAGGCTGCAGGGTATATAAGGTAAACATGATTTCATATGATACCTTATGATTTGGATAAAGTGCTTTTAAATTCCTGACATCGGGCAGCATTACCCTCTCAAAGTGTAGGAGAGAAATAATCCTTTCAAATCAACTCTGCTGGAGAGTGAAACGTTTTTCACCAGCCTAGTTTAAAAATTATATCTGAGCCTTTCACTGCTAACTGGTTCAGCACAAACAAACAGTGCATACAGGATGTAGCCATTTCAGCAGTTTCCCTGCAACTTGCTATACATTTTAATTTATTTTCTAGGGTGTTTTTTTGAATAAGTTGGTTTTTTTTTACATAGAAGGAAAAATGTGTGGTTGAATCATAAAGCTAGATAAAGAATTGTGAGCCTGTGTTGGACTGAGGTCCTTTTCAGCCAAATAATGACTTTATCTGCTTATAATGGAAGAATTGAAAGAGATGTGGGAAAGGAAGACTGAAACACACTTGGGAGCCTATATTTCAGCAATGTGGGGGAGGCTGACCATTAATATGGGAATTAATAACTCTCCAAAGCCACCTCTTTTGAGCAGCTGCAGTAGGAACTGGCAGTGCGGAATGCACAGACTAATTCTGTTTCAGAGCAGCTAAAATTAAATGTTTGTTACAGCTTTATGTACATACCCTCTCAGCAGGAGCCGTTTTCCTTCCCTTTAGGGAAACTCAGAAGGAGAAGAACATTTAACAGCCTCAAACTACCCAGTCTGTGTGCCATATGTATACGCCACTGAGCCATGCCTGTGTTGTCAGTGTTTAGACTCTTCCTGAAAGGTGGAATCTGGCTGGTTGCTAGCAATCCATGTCCTTAGAGGCACTGGAGCAAAATGCTAATGTTGATCACAAAGGGAAGGTCTGAAATTGTAAGCAAACAGAGAAGACCCATCATGCATTTTCACAGATGATAAAAGGCTGAAAGTGGCAGTCTGCTTATCAAATAACTAGATTTATTGAAATAGCCTGTGCTCTCATTAAATGGTTTGCCTTTTATGTTTTTGTTTTATTTCATCTTACTGAAGGTGTCTGGGTTTTTTTTCAAACCTACTATTGCTGCTGAGGCAAACTGGCTAATTTAGACAATTTCTTTTGTTAATGCGTAAAAAAGTGTGGATTGCAGTGTTCTCTCTTCACTGACATAGCGGGGCCTTAGAGCAGAGACAGTCCCTGTCATGAAATCTGAGCTTCCTGGAAAACAAATCATAAAATTAATGTTATAATTATAAGTTTGTTCCTTGCAAGATGGTAGTGCTAGTGGAAATGTGGCTACACATTTAATTTGGCATAAGCCTAGTGCTGTCAGCTATGCTCAGAGAAGGAGGTAGAATTGATAATTTTTAATCACTAGAGAGAAATGAAATGCAGAAACAAAAATGTTGCTAGCGTGATATGGCGTCTCTCTGCTGAAAGGACCATTCCTTTCCTGGTTCAGCAAGGTATCGCATTTTGTGGTTTTGTTCCCAGGGGAAAAAGCCACTGCTTTCCTCCTTTTCTGAAAACATTTGTAAGATGAGAAGTGGAATATTAATAATTGAAAATGCAAGTTGCAGTAATGCCATTTGCATAAGGATGTTTCTTGACCCACGGAGGATATTCACTGTTTGTTGGAGAAAAGATCAGCAGAGGAACTGTGGGAGCCTGATGGATCTAAAAGGCCACCTGGCAATAAACTTATTTCTCAAGTGAATCTTAATGTGGTTCCCAAGACTGGAATTCTCTATTTGTAGCCTGCTCTTTTTTCTGGAGGACCTGAGGAACTACCAAGAGAATCAATATCCCCCAGCGCTGGTTGTGGTGAGAGTAAGTAGATATTAGCATGGAGAGAGGGTTTGTTGACAAAGGACATGGAAATAGATCCTTCCTCCTGCAGAATTTGCTTTGTGAAGTTTAAGGATGACCTTCACTGAGAAAGTCCTCCAAAGACATGTTAATGATGAGCTGCATGGAATTCCGCAGCTGGGGTTAAGACTGAGTTGACTGCTGATATTTTAACCTATACCTTCAGGAATTGTGGTGGTTTTTTGTTTGGGATTTTTGAGGTGTTGTTTGTTAAGCCAGATGCTTATGCTGCAGAGCCATCCTTCTGTGCTGTTTTCAATGCCAGCGGTACCGAAACGTTACTCATAAAGTGCGCACACAGTTACGATTCGTGACTTTAACTCTCAGCATATTTATAGGCCTCATTTCCATTTTTTGTGGTCTCATTAATGGAGCAGCAATAATAAATTGAAATGTTAATGGAGGATCATTTCACCAACAGCAGAAGGTATTAACGAACTTGATAAGATAGTTGAAAGGAAAATAACTTTTTAGTAGTGTAATTTTTTAACCACTGCCCCTTATTGTCACTTTCCAAACATGTGTAATTGGGGCAGTTTTGAAATTGTGTATATCATTTCATATGGACAATTTTTAAATCAGTTTCCTGGATACCTTGCATGGGAGATGGACCTTTTATAGAAATTCCAGTGGGGACAGCCATTCTGGAAGTTGAAGCATGAGCAGACTTTGCTGTAGTCATGATGGTAGAGATAAAAACCCAGAAAACATATTTTGTCTCTGTGAGTTAATGCCCTTCATTAACAGAGTGAGAAAAAGTTCTCCTCTTTGTATGAAGTGGACAGTTCACATCCTGTTGTGAAATACTTGGACATAGTGTTAAGGTGTGGTCTCATATGGGTCTTAAATTCCCCAACAGACAAGGGAATTGCACCTCAGAGTCCTTTGGCAGCCCTGTACCTCACTTTTCCAACTGGTAAAGTGAAGGGCTTTGAGTTAATGGAACACAGTAGGATTTTAAGGCTTGGTCAGTTAGTATTTGTGGAGAGTTAGCATCTCCTCCGGCAGAGGAGTTACACTGTGGGGCACTCTTCAGCTGGAAGTAAATGGTACCGGACACCACCCAGGACCTTCCCCAGTGCCACGTTGTTGAAGACCTCTGCGCTGAAATTAGTTACAGCTGCAAAGACATTTCTATATGCATGTTTAGAAGTTGAAGGCTGAAACTTGTAATGCATTTGAAATAAATTTGCATTCTGGCCCCTGGTCAGAGCATCTGTTTGAGTCTTTTGCTGTTTAGTTCCAGAAAGTTTGTTCCCCGTGAGTTTTCGTCTCTCTGAGCAGATGCATTAATGCTTTTTGGACTTTGCTTACCCACAAATATAGCAGAAGCTTTGAAGTGGATTGGCAGCTTTTCACCACCCTTCTTTCTCTTGTTTTGTTAAGTAAGTTTAAGGTACTAGGGTGGGTAAAGAATTGCACGTTTGAACTGTTTGTCTCCTATAAGAAAAGAGACTGGCATTTAAACGTGTCATTCAAGCTAATCATTATCTCATAATCAGGAGTCTAGTAATTTAGATACTTAATCTAGTCTTGTTAGTACAAGTATCTGCAACTTTTTTGAGAAAAGATATTATTTTCAAATGACACGTGATTGGTCTAATTTTTTTTTTTTTCGTGTAGGTACCATTAATTTGGAATTACTTTTGTGAGGTGCCATTGTCTTGCTTCTGTGCAGATAAACTATGTGAGCACTAGCCCACTGAGATAAGCAGAGGATGAGCAAGTACCTATAGAAGTGGACAGATAAATGCCAATGAAGGGCCATTTGAAACGGGAAGGAAAAAAAAAGGAAGGTTATCTGTCTAGCCTTATTGGCAGATGATCAGAACAGTGACTGGAAGCATTATATTTCAATTTTTCTTGCTTAGGTCTTGATTCAAAACTCACCAAAAT